CCCGGCGTATACCGGCGATATATGAACCAACCCCAACTGCTGCTCATTGTGCATCCAAATTGTCATAGTTGAAGTACAGTACAGTTTTTGTGGTGTCTCTCTCTGTAGTACTAATGTTACTACTCTGCACTACTTCACTATCTATGTATTGCGCATGCGCACAAGAGCTTCTTGTTCCTTTTTAGTCTGGTCTTCTTCCAAGGCTTTTTCGAATAACAATAATGACTTGATGATGTTTGATCAATGGTTGGTACATAACAATTTGGCGACGAAGTAAAAGGATGGCCAAACAGGCAAAGTTAGAAGTATTTGATACTGGAGATTTCGAGGAGTATGCGGAACGTCTAGAGTTCTTTTTTATCGCAAATGACATTGGGCAGTTGGCCAGCTCTGCAAATGCTGCACAGAAGGATGCTGCGGATAAGAGAAAGGCTGCAGTACTCATCTCCCAGCTGTCAGCCAGCGCGTATACGAATTTAAAGAATTTGTGTCTTCCGAACAAACCTGGAAGCAAGAAGTACAACGACATTGTCAAAATCCTGACCACTTTCTATCGACCTCCTGTGAGTGCTGTTGCTGCGACGCATCAATTCAATCAAGCAGAGCAGATGGAGGGAGAGAGAATTGTTGAATTTTCAGCTAGACTGAACGGGCTCGCTGTTGACTGCAAGTTCGGAGATCATCTGGACCGCGCCTTGCGCGACAATTTTGTAAAGGGTTTGGTTTCACACGCCATGACCAAGGAGATTCTCAGCAAGGCTGAGGATTCGGACACGTACGCCACCACAGTGGAGAGAGCTACGTTGTACGAGACAGCGTACAAGGATGCTGCAAGATTTGAACCTGCAACGACAGTGCATGCAGTGAAGTCGAGACGCCCCGGAGACAGCGCTCAGAGAAGTGAGAGAATGAGGTCAGCAGCCAGCACAACGCCGAGAAATGTTTCCGTTGTGACAAACCTGGTCACAAAGCCGCCGACTGCTACTTCAAACAAACTGAGTGCAGGTACTGCAAGATCGTTGGCCATATCGAGAGAGCTTGCAAGAAGAAAAAAGCCCGAGCCGTGAAGTTCGTCCAGACCGAATATGACGACCAAGAAACCGGTGAGATCGAACCTGTGTCTGTGCCTCTGTCTCTTTACTACGTGAATGGAAATGCATACTCGAAAGTGGGTCCTTTCAAAATTGACGTAGATGTAAATGGGGCATCTGTGAATATGGAAGTAGATACAGGGAGTCCCGTAACGATCTTGAGTGAAAATGATTTTGTGCACGCAAACGGAAATTGCGAAAGGCTGGAAAAATCTACTATACGAATGCAAGGTTATACTGGTCAATCTATTGAATGTCTGGGTGAGATGTCACTACCTATCACTATCGAGTGTGACTGTCAACCTGTACTTGTACGGGTCGTATCGAATGGTCCATCCCTGCTGGGCCGAGACATGTTGTCAAGGTTTAAAATGCCATGGCACCTGTTCATTGAGCAAGAAGAAAACAGGCGTCAGCGAGTAAACCATGTGCGCGTACAGGATCTGATTGAGCGATTCCCAGAACTGTTCGACACTGAGGAAATTGGCAAATTGAATACAACGCAGATCACTCTGCATGTGGATGAATCCAATCCAGTGTTTTGCAAGGCACGGCCAGTACCCTTTTCGGTAAAGCAAAGATACGAAGAGTCACTGGATGCACTGGTGAAAGACGGAGTGCTCAAGAAAGTAGATCATGCTAAATGGGCATCACCAACAGTACCAGTAGAAAAACCGAATGGCAAAATACGACTGTGTGGCGATTACTCGTTAACAGTAAACAAGCACTCGGATTGTGAACACTATCCATTGCCAACACTTGAAGAGCTACGTGAAAAATTGGCAGGGGGCTGTAAGTTCACGAAATTGGACTTATCACAAGCCTATCATCAGCTAGAGCTAGATGAGGGAAGCCGAGCTTTCACTACCATCTCTACTCACAGAGGTCTGTTTGAGTATACGAGATTACCGTTCGGCATAAACTCGGCTGTGTCAATCTTTCAACGAACTATCGAACATGTTCTTGCGGATCTACCAGGCTGCATGGTGTACATTGACGATATCTTGATTACGGGTGCTAATGAAAACGAACATATGGCAAATCTGGAAAGGGTACTCAAACGTCTGCAGGAAGTTGGGCTGAAACTTAGACCAGACAAGGTGCGAATAATGGAAGATTCAGTTACCTATCTTGGACACCGATTTTCTGGAAGCGGAATGTCCCCCACTTCAGAAAAAGTGTCAGCTCTACGAAATGCGAAACCACCTGCAGGTGTCGCAGAACTCCAATCATTTATTGGGTCCGCTACCTATCTCAGTGCGTACATACCGAATTTTGCCGACATAATGGCCCCATTGTACACCTTGCTAAAAAAAGGATGTGAAATGGCACTGGGACCAACGAGAAAATGAAGCTTTCCGCAAGGTGAAAGAAATATTAACGTCGGATCACGTATTGGCAAATTACTACCAGGAAAGAGAATTAATCTTGCAAACGGATGCTTCCGGAAAGGGTCTTGGAGCCGTTTTATTACAACCAGAGAGGGGTGCTGCGACCTATCGCATTCAAGTCTCGAATACTCACGAAAGCGGAACAAAATTACTCTCAAATCGAACGGGAAGCATTAGCAATTGTCTTTGGGACAAACAAATTTCAACAGTATTTGTTGGGTCGTGAGTTCGAAATTCGAACGGATCACAAACCGCTTCTCTCAATTCTGGATCCATCCAAACCAGTCCCTACAATGCTGTCAAATCGGTTAAAGAAATGGAGATTGTCACTGATCGCATATCGTTTCAAAATCACTCACATTCCTGGGAAAAGCAACCACATTGCAGATTTCCTGTCTCGTAGTCCAGTCGAAGGAGTGCCAACTGAAGCTGAAATGGTGACTGGGCACGTTCTTTTAATCTCAGAGGAGGGCATTGCAAATGCAGATCTCGTGGCACAAGAAACAAAGGGTGATCCATTACTTGGCAAGGTACTAACCTACACTCGGAAGGCATGGCCTGTAAGTGTCCCCACTGAATTGTTACCGTACTTCACTCGAAGGTTTGAACTGACAGTGGAGGGTGATGTACTACTTTAGAATGATAGAGTAGTGATTCCGAGTTCACTTCAGAATGTTCTGTTGCGTGATCTACACTCAGAGCACATGGGCGTAGTCCGTATGAAAAGAGTGGCGCGGAAATACCTGTGGTGGCCAAATCTTGACAACCAATTGGAAGAAACTGTGAAAATGTGTGATATTTGCCAGGCAAATGCTCGCTCACCACCGAAATCTTGCGGAACCTGGACTTGGCCTTCAGGACCATGGCGTCGAATCCACCTGGATTTTGCTGGACCTTACTTGGGTAAAATGTTTCTGGTAATTATCGATGCTCACACCAAGTTCTTAGATATCCCAATGACTCATGCTACGACCAACGGCGTCATTGAGGCACTACGGCACTTGTTTGCGATTTTCGGTTTACCCGAGCATTTGGTGTCTGATAATGGCAGTCAGTTCACAAGCGAATCGTTCCAACGCTTTGTGCGTGAAAATGGCATTCATCACACTAAAACAGCGCCTGGACACCCAGCTACTAATGGGCTAGCTGAACGCTATGTTGGGTACTTCAAAGAGAAGATGAAGTTAATGACCGTGGATCGGTGTGATGAAACGCTCAACACAAAGTTGTGCCGTTTCTTACTGTCGCATCGCACGACACCGTTGGCAAATGGAAAAACTCCAGCGGAGCTTATGTTTAACCGCCAACCCCGTACCCGTTACGATGTGTTACGCCCCTCCGAAACCAAGCGTAGTGTGGAGCGTTTTGAAGAATCGCTAAATGAACAACCCGAATTCACAAATGGTCAGACAGTATTTGTTTTGAACTTTGGGCGTCATGGTAGCAAATGGATTCCTGGTATTGTGTTGTCAACTCTGAGTTCGTACAATTACCAGGTGCAAGTTGGAGACAGTGTTTGGAAGAGACACCGTAACCAGATCCGACCACGCTCTCTACCAGCTAGCATGTTTGCTACCGACAAGGGTGAACAACCACCGCAACTACCGGATACTCGCCATGCTTCTGTCAACGTGAATGGAAGTTTCAGTGGACAGTGTCGCGAGTCTACACCAGCTAACAGCAGCAAGGAGTCAAGTCAACCAGCTAACAGCAGCAAGGAGTCAAGTCTACAAGTGCCAACTCCACAGTGCGCTGCTCAACTGACTGGATCTGAACAGATTCTGACGCAAGATACACTACCTGAGACAGATCAGAGTAGTAAGTCGTCCAGCAGTGGTAAGTCTGTTGCGATCGCTGTGCGTCGTTCTTCGCGTCAGTCACATCCACCTGGCAGACTGATTGCTTCCCAGTGAGTCTAGGATTGCCTGATAGACTGGTGGACTGATTATGACACGCTGATGGACTTTTTCAATATTGGGACATTATGATAGATCGATTGTTAATTATGTCGACTGACATGATTTCTAACCTTGGAACACTGTGTATTGTAGTTGACATAATTATTACCGTATATACCCCATCTGCGAACATAGATATCTATTAATACAGTCAGTACCTGTATCACAAGTAGATTACTGACATTTCATATTACACAAGTACTACTTTGTGCATGAACGATAAATTATATATATATATATTTTTTTTTGCTTGTTTTTTTTTAAGGGGGAGGAATTGTGGTGTCTCTCTCTGTAGTACTAATGTTACTACTCTGCACTACTTCACTATCTATGTATTGCGCATGCGCACAAGAGCTTCTTGTTCCTTTTTAGTCTGGTCTTCTTCCAAGGCTTTTTCGAATAACAATAATGACTTGATGATGTTTGATCAATGGTTGGTACATAACAATTTCAGTTTTTCTGAGACGTTCAGTTTTGCATGATTCGAGTTGTCTTAGCTTCTTATTCAATTGATCTTCGAATCTTTAGCGCCACACAAGTTGCATGGTATGTTGTCTTACCTTGTCCTTCACAGAGAGCGTATCGGGTTGGAGTTCTAGTAGATACTTGACGACTTCCCCATGTCCTTTCGATGCAGCGTGATGAACAGGAAGGTCACCGTCCTGTGCGCAGGTAACACACATGACCAGACATTCCTATGCAGTATCCATCAGATAATATCTATACTGAGTGTACATGTAATGAACAACTCACTATGAAGTGAGTTGTTCTCATCTACACACAGTACTCTTAACCAAAGTTGCAACGAATATTGATCGAATACCTTCGATTTTTTTCGCTGCACCGAATACACCCACATGTGAGTCAGAATTCGAATATTCGAAATGCTGAACTTCATGTACAACTTTCAGTACAAAGGCTCAACCTGCTCATCGCAGCGCGCTCGCTGTGTTCTTGCATCATATAATGTGCAACAGTCACTGCAACTGGGCAACATACGACATAGTCAACGTAATGTCCTTTGAAGCTGATTCTGACCAGTTCCACTTACTCGCCGTTTCTAGCTTGCACCCGCGCAAGAAATCCTTACGTTCTTCTTTGTAGTTTGCGGCAGTTTTATGCCTCATTTCTTGTTGGATGAGAGAAACGAAGTAAACAAGAAAATGCTGTTCTTTTCGAAACGCGAGTGCACAGTCCAGAGTTCACGGACTGTGCTGGGAGTGCGGTACGCACTGGCTGCACAGTGCGGAGTTGCAGCATGCACATGAAGGTGCATGCTGGTCTGAAGACAGTGTTCTTTTTGTTATTGCACTGCTGCTGTACAGTTGCAAATTTTCGCTGCATGGCCGAGTGCTTTTCTCTTCGTTTCTTTAGTGTAATCTGTCTGATCATGCCTGGACGTGGACGATCCTCCACCCCAAGAGGCCGGAGCAGGTCCTCCAGGGGAGGTAGTTTGCCTGCCTCAACTCTTGAACCTTTGTACAACTTTGATATAGAAAAGGTCAAAATCGTACGCCAAATCGCTTGTCCCATCGCAAAAATTGAGCCGAGCTCAACTTCTGCGATGGCCCAGTTGCCGCAGTTGCGCGGGCTGCGAGATGGCTGCGATATGGGGATTTCCCGGTTTCGCGGCTGTAGCATCGTACATCGCATCCCAAAAATGCTTCTGTGAATCCCGCTTTATGATCAATTATGTTACGAATTTATGTTACGACTATGATTTACGCATGTCGTTGTATTTGGTTCTTGTCTTGTGGAGTCCAGTGTCTGATGTCATATATGGTCTAGGTGTACGCGCGAGTATGGTGTGATGTGTGACGTTTATGGTATGTGGTGCATGCAAGAGTACGCGTTGTCAGAGTGTGAGGATGTGCTTCCGTCTGTGTGAGCGTGACTGTCAAGTGAATGCTGTACATGCGCAGTGCTAGTTTGGTTTGGGAATGAGAGTCATGTGTGATTCGTCCGTGGTCTGGTTGTCTTGGCCTTGGTCATGTGTTCTGTACGTATTAGTCCCTGATTGGTCGTTTCGATGTGTTCGCCCTTTTCTCTGTTTTATAACTGTTGGTTGTTTATTATTTCTTTGTCTTTTCTCCCCCGTTCTCCCACCCACCAGTTAGTTATTTATTCCAAGAGATCTTATTCAAGAAACTGTGTCGTCCTCTTGCCCGCGTGGATGAGTCGGAGAGTGGTTGTGTGGCGGGGAGCGGGGGGAAATTCCTTTACATTGGCGCCCAACGTGGGGCTCGAACCCACGACCCTGAGATTAAGAGTCTCATGCTCTACCGACTGAGAAAAAATTCCTTTACAATTAGACGGATAACCGATATAATCGTTTTAGCCCTAATATATACATGTACTTGCTGATACTGACGCTGACGGAACACGAATTTGAGTTGAATACTCACGAAGTCTTGTACAATTACAAGTACAATTTGTTCCCAAAATAACTACTTCGGGACAGCCTGTTCATGGTTTTCATTTGTATTGGACTCGTTCTCTACACTTGCGATAATTTAGCGGCAATTCTAACGTTGTAGCGTTGTTCTCTTGTAATTTAGTGGAACCTGTATTGAGTAGCTGAGTTTTATGTTTCGTTACATTGTCGTCAGATCTCCTGTGTACCGTTTTTGTGGCACAATGATTATAGCCATTATATTTGGTCGTCTCCATTCTTGTGCAATCATGCATATGTAGGTTGGTTCTCTTCATGTTATTGTGACCAATTTCATAGATGTTGGTTGCCTTGTTGCTTTCTCTCCCCTCTCCTCTCACCCAAGCTTGTAAAATAGGTCGGGATGTTCGCATTTCAGAGCGATGGAGAATGCAGTTTCTGTCTACTTCGAGCTGTCTAGTGGCAAGGATTGTTTATTGCGGGGAGGCATAGAGAAACTGAAAAAGCGCTTCGCGAGCTTGAATTTCAGTGCTGGCACAGTACAGCGCCTAGTGAAGATTTATCACCAACAAATCGCCGACGAAGAAATTGCACCTCATGTCGACATCTCCAGAAAGTGAGACCAATCCAGCGGACACACTCTCAAGCTCACAGAGGACTGGGCAAAGGAGCTAATCAAAATAAACACCAAGTCCTGAGTGAAACTCTCGTGCAGAAGACTTCCAGGAAACTAGCCGAAAAGCATGGTGCAAGGCGTTAGGACTTAGGTGCAGTACAGGTGCTACATCAAGCGGAAGCTTTCACTGGGCTGCATGTACAAGCACCAGCGGCTCGCGTGGGTGCTGATCAGGAAGTACGACAAGCGCAAGAGACGATATGAAAAAAGACACTGTTATGGCGTTGCCTTTTTGTCTCAAACAAAGAAGCTGCCTTATTGCGAAGAACGGGGATACCACTTACAGCCAACACGCGGGCAGTCTCATTCAGCTTCAGAGCGGCGAGGTGACAGTCACGCACTGGCTGTGAGCGTGATTCGAGACGAGGAGAAGTGGAACAAGCTATTGTGCAGCAGCTGTCCGGATCTAACGTTTTGAGCTTTTCCTCCAGGGATGATAGTGGCGAGGAGGATGTGTAACTTGCTTGAATTTTCGGCTGAGTTGCTTACTGACATGTAACTAATCATGTGCATAGTGCTTTGTGATCGTGGCATGCTTCAAATATATGTATTTCCTTCCTGAGACAAGTGTGAAGATAAGCGCCAATTGTAACTGGGCGGCCCAAGTGTTACGTGATCAGTCTTATCAGTCTATAACCAACAAAGCCACAATGCTACAGCCGTGTGAATGGCACAATAGCAGGAAGTAGTAAGAACAGTCTCAGGACAGAGCATTGGCAAAAACAGTTGCCAGAAGCGTAGAGAACAGACTGACTAGCGAAAGCCTGAAATGCCAGCAAAGAGCCAAAACCCAATCCACGCATGACGTCACCTGCGCATGCGTGGGGCACACATATAACACATGTGTACGTGAACGCAGTAAACGTGACATCTCCCTTTCTTTGAAATAAGAGAGTGTCCGAGCAAATCAAATACATGTGTATGGCGGCATTATAAGAGTCAAATGTAATAGCTCAGCATGATGAGCTGGCTTGAGCGTATGTAATGCAGCACGCACATACATAATGAAACGACTCTTAAACAGGCACTACTGATCAATCAGGAGTCCATGATGAGACGCTTAGGGATCCGGACCACTCTTCCAGATCGCATTGTCTGGATGTCAGTGCGGGCGCCTTGTGACTCTGGCGACCGTTGCACCAACACCGGGATCTTGGATGGTGTGCGTTGCACCAACGCCGGGATCTTGGATGGCGTGGTCTTAGGAACAGGCGTTGACGGTCCAGGTAGCTTCGGGCTCGGCGGTGTGGATGATGCCCGGTCTGGTCCGTCAGCTGCAGTCGGCGTTGCGGGTCGGATAAACTGTCTGATTCCGCTGGAGGACTCTTCTGTTGCAGGAGACTTCATAACTGCGGGTAGACGTCTTGCCGGCGATTACTGCAGGCTGCCATTCTCTCGACTTGCCGTCAATCGGTTGAATGAAAACCTTTGCGCCAGACGTGAGTGGCGGAGGTCTTTCCTTCGGTGGTCGAGGTGCTCAGCTGCCTTTTGTCTTCTGGTCTCCTTCTTCTGAATGTCGGCTGACATATCTGAAGCGGGCTTGAGGCGATCATTCAGGGTTGGCAGCACAGTTCTGGTTTGGCCACCAAATTGTCGTTGCACGGGACTGGTGCTGAGACCTTCAGTGGGTTTGTTGCGCACATTCAGTAACCCGAGGTATGCATCGAAATTCTCTTCGTTGCCTTCTTCATGAACTTCTTCGCATCCTTGACGGCGGCCTCAGTAGCACCATTAGATCTGCTGTTGCCTGGGCTGCTGTGCTCATGCGAGAATTCCCACTTCGCGGCGAAGGCGCTAAATTCCCGGCATGAGAATTGGGGACCATTGTCGGAGACGACTACATCAGGGATCCCATGCATTGCGAAGTGATACTTGATCTTGCTGAGGCAAGTGCTGGCCAGAGTGTCAGGAAGGAAATCAACCTTGTAGAAGTTGCTCAGGTAGTCAACTGTAACTAAGTAGTTTCTTGACTTGATGGTAAAGATGTCGATTCCTACTTTCTGCCACGGGCGATCTGGCACTGGGTGTAGGAAGAGTGTCTCGGGCTGCTGCTTGCTGGTATGACGAGCACAGGTGTCGCAGTTTACGACGAACTGACGAATCTCACTCGACATTCCAGGCCAATAAACAAGGTCACGGGCTCGCCGTATGCATGAATTTACTCCTATGTGACCGGCGTGTGCTTTGGTTTTCACGGCATTGCGCATGGAAAGTGGAATGACGATGCGCTCGCCACGGAGCAGAAGGCCGTCTTGTGCTGTGATTTCATCACAGCACTTGATAGGACTCAGCGTCCTATCAAGCACTGGAGATGGCAATTAATACCCGGGACATCAAGCGCCCACGTGGCCGACCCCATCTCAGATGGATTGACAATATTAAAAATGATCTAAAGCACGCCAATATTGATATTTCTGACTGTTTTGAACTGGCTCTAGACAAGGAAAAATGGCTGATGCTTGTGGAAAAATGTGCTGCGCTTGCGTAGTTGTTCTTACTGCGATACGTTCTAACAATAATGAGATGCCTTTTGTCGGCTCTTCTGCCTGGATTTCGTTGAAAGATGCGTTAAGCCCATGGATCCTTCCATGAGT